CACTATGGGACCCCTGTCCATCACTGTCCTCCAATCCCTCGACTTCACTAAATCCCACTCCCTTTTTGCCCCTTAGAATGGAAACTGGGCTAGTGCCAGGTTGGTCATTCCATACTCCAGAAAGAGAAATGCTCTGAGTGTTTTATTCCAAGGCCCCTTGCCCAACCCTACTGCTTCCTCTCCATCTCTCCCTTGTTTCACATCCTCTGACTTCTGGGTAAGAAGGTCTTTCTTAGAAGAGAAAGAATTTCTTAGGTTGAGACACAGAAGAGCTGGAACTATGGATCACGGAAGCTATGCAAAAACAGAACTTGGAACCTAAGGGTAGGGGCACAGTGGGAATTAGATAGCGGGCCAAGGAATAAGGAGCAGTGATAAGAGGCTTAGAATGTCACCAAGAATGACAGAAGGAGCTGGTTGGAACCCCACACTTGGGCCTGGTAACTTTCAGAAACCAAGGCTTTAGTTTGGATTTGGGTTTGGGTTTTGGAGGAAAGAATGGGAGAAAACCTGACATTTTATTAAGCATCTATGAACCAGACATATTTCAAACTTTTATCTCACTGAAACCTTTCAACTCCCAAAGAAGTAAGCCTTATCCTGTTTTACTGGTGAGACTTCAGGCTTAGAAGTAGGTATACAGTTACAGTTAATAGAAAATATAGGGGATCATTATAACCACCCACCACCCCCAGAGATATTCTGGCACCTTGAGGGTGCTATGCTGCTAGATATCCAGTCATCTGTTGACTGCAGTAGCTTAATGGACAGCAGCACCTTGGAGCTGGAGAAACCCCACAGTTTTGGTGAAGTCACTTCTGACACAGCACCCACAATATTCAAGGGTGCCACTAGGAAGTAAAAGGATCTTGAGATAAAGGAGGCCTGGTTTTTCAGACCAGAACAGAGAGCTTCTACCAGGGACCCAAGAGAAGGGCCATTATGAAAGGCTAAGAGAGCCAGTGGTAATATGGGGAAGGCATGGCATAACAAATGCAAAAAATGATTTCTAAAGCCTTCCTGTCCCAGTGCCTTATATTGGCTGATGTTTTGCAATCTAAAGAAACTTAATTTAACTCCAGAGCAGATGAACCTTTTTAGGGCCCGAACAGAGTAGCCTGGAGCTCAAGGTCCAGGAGGGGTAGGTCAGCTTCACCGAGAAAGACACAAGGATGACAGAACACACAGAAGTCTGAGGAAGGAGAGAGTACTCACCATTCTACCGTGGTGAGGGTCCTGGCTGCCTGCTTCTCACTATAAGGAGACAGAGAAACGTAAGAGTAAAGAACAACATTAACATCACCATAGAATCAACAAATGCTGTATACACATCTACTCCTGAACTTCTCTACAACTTTTATTATCCTTCCTCACAGAAAATCCAGCCTCTCCACAAGTCACCATGCCAGAGAGGCAATGGGAGCTACATGGGAAGAAAGCAACAAGTGATTCTGCGGGGTATGAAGCCAGCCATGAAGTTCTGGAGCAAGAATGAGTATTATCCAAGATTATTCAGCAGAATTCAAGAGTCCTGATTTCCAGGCCCAGAAGGAGAAGTACAAAAACACTCCCAAACCCTGTTCTTTGTGGGAGGACAAAAGAACTGCCAACTCTGAAAAGACAGAGGCTGCTCCACTAGGACTCACTTCTGGCCCTGGTGGGGACATAATCCGCAGGAATGCTCTGCCGGCCTCTGAGTCTGGGAGTAGCACCCACCTGACATGTTTACTGGGGGCAGAGTCCAGAGCAGAGGACAAGAGGGAGGGGACCACAACCTGAGATCACAAAGCAGCAGGGCTGGACAGGTCCTGTTGAGTTACTTGACACTATGTGGGTTGTGGATTAGTGAGAGGAGGCCACATAACAAGGATAGAATCAGGCCTCAGAGTCAGGACCTGTCAAATGGGCACAAGCCACAAATTTCAAGATGGGCCTCCTTGGCCCACTTAAGGCACGAGGCCCAAGTTTCACTGACACTTTCTTTCTTGCCTGCTATCTGAGCTTGGGCTGTCCAGTAGTACCCACCCCCTCCAAGGGTGCAGGGATAAAGGCCTCCATCTGTACTCCTGCCCACCTCCCTGATCACAGCCCACGCTTCCTCATGGGAGAGCCAGCAAGCAGCAAGCCAAAGGTGCTGCCTCACCACCCACTGGCACGCAGCCTCAGGGAAACGGAGGGAGAAACATGGACCAAGCCTGAGAGGCCCAGGGTTCCTAAACCTAAAGGATCTGGCCCGGGGCTGGGTAGGGGGGGCGGGCCAGGCTGGCGGGGGATCCCAGGTGC